GCGAACGAGAAGAATTTTTAAAAATGAAAAAAAAATTTTTTATTTTATTCTTGCTCCTGCGAATTTTTTTCATAGCCACAGTATCACATCCATAAAAATTTTGCACAGAGGTACCTGCAATTTTCATGGAACAAAGCGACAATCGATCAATTTTTTTACTATTTCAATCAAAAATTCTCGGAAATTTGCTTTTTATAAGCTTGAAAAATTTTTACGCTAAATTCATGAAATCCATTTAAGGTTTGATCATTGAATATCTCAGCCATGCGCGTGTATGTATTAATTTTACTGCCATTTTTGCGTACAGAAGATCTGAGATTGAGTTGTGAAATGTTTCTCCGAGACATACAAGTCTGAAGTTTAGGCAAAAATTTAATGACCAACAACGTTTTCAAGACTGTAACTGACTTTCATTCAATTTCATGTTAAACTCATTTGAAAACTTGCACATAGGAGTTTGAAAGGCCTAGAAACTTTTATCAAGGAATGTCCCGTTACCAGGTTTGAGTTGCAATCATAAATATTAATTGAAACATTGAGACAGCTACAAGAAAGAATTGAACTGAGTTGTTTCATTTCATTGCAGGTTTATGAGAATAATGGCAAGTCATCTGACGTAATGTCCCACGATTTGAGTTCTTATTCATTCTGAATAATTTCGGCTTTTTATGAAATTCTATAGAAAGAATCTATTTGAATACTATGTTAAATTATAGAAAGCTTTATATCAAAAGAAGCGCAGATACGTTATTTCCTAAATATCAATTCATTTTTTATCACATTTTTTTGTAAAATTTTATGTTTAGAAAATGATGAAATATGAATACGTGTGTACCTCTTTGTGTGTGCGTGTGCCGGTCGGCTGTATATGAATGCTAAATTAATTCACAGTTGTATGATCCTTAGAGGATGAACATTCAACAAACATACAAATTTGTATGCGAGAAATATGCCTTACAAACATAAGCCTGTATATTTTGTAGTTACTTCAAGTTAAGCCATACACTTGATTGATTGATTGATTGGTTGGTGGCTTGCCATATGTGGAGTAGAGAGGTTACGTAACTGAAGAATATTAATCTCATGAAGAATATTAATTTCATGAAGTAGAGGTGTAGTTCATAAAACGTAAATTTTTGATGTTATTAACATAATTTATTCAAAAATTATTCATGATGATATTAATCTGGTGATTCAGTTGATGGTATTTCAGTAAATTTTATACAAAAAAATTTTTGCCACCTGCTTTTAAATGCAATCAAATATTTTTTTGATGGATAGAAATTTTGGAAATCGGAAAATTCTTTTTGAAGGATTCTCATTAAAAAATTATTTGTGTAATAAAAATAAATTATGAATAAGAATAAATCCTACAAAATTAACATCTTTCAATGAAATTATTGTGTCATCTTTTTTACAAATTACCAAATGGTTCTAAAACTAACCCTTCAAGACGCATTAATGTTCCATTATGTGTTGTTATATTGTAATAATAATAATTGAGGCCAAACTGAACATTCGCGTGCAATACAATACTCATGGCTTCTATTTTAAATTAACATAATTCTGGTATACTGACACAATTTTTTCAGCTTATATATACCTGGAATAAAAAGACGCAATTAAAAAATTTCAAATAATTCAAAAACTCGCTAATGACGACCTCTATTTTGAAATAATACTGCACTCCATTGTGTAATAATTCAGCAGACTGTATGGGTGGAGAGCTGGCTGGGAGACATGATAATGATTAAAAATGGCTTTTGTCTCTTGGTTCTGTATCTAATCCCCTTTCGAATGACGAAATGATGAAATGATGATGAAATTATTTTGTTGCTTTTGTCATTAAATTTGTCATTGTCACCGCCATTCGTTGCAATCCTTATCGTCGTCATCATCTTCGTCATCACGATCTTCATCATTTTCATCATCATCTTCGTCATCACCATCCTCATCATTTTCATCACCATCGCCAATGTCGTCGTTATTATGCTGGTGGGAAAAAAAT